TACACCCGGGATACACCCGGGAATGGGGGCCCGGGATACACCGGGATACACTGGGATACACCGGGATACACCCGGGATACACCCGGGAATGGGGGCCCGGGATACACCGGGATACACCGGGATACACCCGGGATACACCCGGGATACACCGGAATGCCGGCACGGGACACACCGGGAATGCCGGCACGACACCTGCACATCCCCGGGACAGCAGGAGCAGTGGCCGCATCCCGGGCCGTGCCCGCATCCCGAGCGGATTTGGGGTCACCGGTACCCGCTCCCCCAGAGAGCAGCAATAAAGAATTGCATCCCCCTTTCCCTACACTGCTCCTCATCCCTGCTTCTCGCTGCTTTCTCAGCCCTGGAATGACGGAATCCAGCCCCAAATGAGCAATGGTGACACAACTGTGCCTGTTTCTAACGAGATCAGCTTCCAGTTCAGCTGCCAAGACCTCCAGACAAGGCTTTGAGCAGAGCCAGGTGCCAGCTGAGGCATCCAGGGCCTGGAGCAGCACTCCACAACTGCAGCTACCACAGGAAAAGATTTGTGATTCAATAAAAATGGGAAGGGATCTCAAAGCCCCTTAAATGAAGAGATATCCCCCACCCCTCTGTAATTCCAACCTTCCCCACAGAGACCAGGACACAAACCTGGATGCTGAGCTCCACAAGAGCCCGAAATGCACCTGCTCAGGAATAAAGGGATTTGCACAATCAGCCAGCATTAGGGTATTACACTCCTTGTTTAAACACTGCTTGGTACAGGATTGCTCTGGGGAAGAACACTGCATGCCAAAAATCAAAGAGCAGTTCCCAACCCAGCTCTGGAGAGTTAAAGATTTGCTCCAAGACTGGAAATGCAAATGACCCAAAGGGAAGGGAGCTGCAAGGAACCCCTGCCCAAGCAGTGCCTTAAGGGGCTGCAGAACTGGCCCCACCTCTGCCAAAAGCTTTCTGTGTCTTTCAAGAGGCCCACAAGAAGCCCCAGACTCTGAGAGAAGTTCCCCAGAGGTTTTTTGGGGGAAATTGTTCAAGAAAAGTTAAAATAAATGCAGTTAAATCCGTATTTTGGCAGAACTGCCAGGAGACACCTGCTCCCTCTTCCTGCTATGACTGGGACAAAGAAAGGTGGGAATGTCTTTACCTTACCCCATAAAAACACAAAAGAGATGTGGGAAAGTGCCACTTACAGCCATAAAGCTTCAGAGATGAATCATGGGGAAAACAGCTCCTGAGAACCAAAATTTGCAGGAAAACAAAGAGCAGGACACAATTAAGGCACATTCTGGAGTCTTTTAACACTTGGCTCATCCCTGTCCCCGATTTCTCCAAACATTCAGTAAGGTTGGCTTTTAATCCATGACTGGTCTCCTCCCACCCAGCAACACCTTCACCAATCCTGCAGCTCTCAATACCTGGAACTCGGGGCTTTTGAAGTTATTTTGATGTTTTTGTCCAATTTAATTAGTTTTTCCTGCCTACCTTCAATGAAATCAAACAGACCATCACGATCTGGGAAAGTTGTACCTGCTCAAGTCCTCCACTTATGCCACCAGTGCTGCTGAAAGCAGTGACTTGTGTGAGCAAACAGCACCTGGGGATGGACCTGAGGCAAAGGTGGGAAAACTTTTCATTCAGAAAAATAAAGTATCTCTAAACCATTGTAAATACCAACAGCACCAGCAGTTATCAAATACCTCAGGAGGATTTTAAACCCAGTTTTTCATGTCATCCCTGCCACTTGTAATGCAGGTGTCTATTTTTAAAGGATCAGGTATTTGCAGGAAAATTATTTCTTCTTAATATATGGAGTCAAATTTAAGAGGTACCTAAAAACCACAAGAGGTAGATGATCCCACTCATGAAGTAAACACATCAATCTTACCACTGAATGCCTGTTTTGCTGCATGAAACACTTGACTGAATATAAACTTATATGTTGTTCTTGATGTATGTGAGATTTTTGGCAAGGTTTATGAAATAATTCATATACATTTAATTTAGGAATGTTTGCCCATTGTTTTTTATATCCATTTAAAAAACAGAAGCAAGCGAACTTCCAAAGCAGAAGTGATGGATTTCTGTCAATTACCAAATGTTATGAATTTGCAACCCTTTTATTCTAGTACTCAAGGAACTGCCAGCTAATTAAAACTGTACCTTTATGATTATTCAGGGAGTTTGACAAAAATAAATACAATTTTGAAGTTGTCTTTGGTGTGTTGTAATTGAAGGCAGCAGTGCCAAGAGAAACACCACTGCACTGCCAGACCCAGCCTTGCAAGAAGAGAACGTAGTACAATGCAAACTTTAATGTCAATATATACAGAGCTTTAAAGAAAACATTTCTTTTAAAATTAAATGAAATAAATACAGTATGATACAAAATCCACAATATGCTTAAGAGAAAGAAATGACAGTTACAATATCTGATAACGGGGACCTTGTGTAGAGTTTCATCTTTGAAGTACCTCAGAGAGCATGGAATTCATTGCACACTGTTCTCAATTAATGCCCTTTATGGAGATTTTGCCACGTGCCAGGAGAGTTTCATCTCGAACCAGAGCATCAGTGCAAGATGCCAAAGTGCTTGGGACATTATGATAATGCAATCAATTAATTAATTAATTAGCAAACACTGCTCAAAAGCCTAATGCAAAACACCCAAACCTGAACACTTGGTCCTGCAAAGCAGATCCACCTCCAATGTCCTCAGTCCTCGTGTGAAAAACCCCACAGGAGGATTCAGGGTTATTCAAACTCACTGTTGGTAATAAGGTATCAACCAAAAATTAATAATTAAGAGATATAATCAATTAAGTATCTTTTAAAGCTTTCAGAAAAAGTTTGCTTTCATTACACAGGGAAAATCTCAAGAAAACCAGTTGCTGATGATTTTGTGGGGGACTTTCTAATTATGCAAATTCTTACAATACTCAATCAGCTTCAGCCATACATTAAGGATGGGGGTTTTCAAATTTGTATCCATTCTTCTACTCTCAAGAAACAGCAGAACTTGGAGGAGCAAATATTTAAAAAATAACTGAGATGCTGAGACAGAAGATGCTGATGCAGAAGGCTGGTGTGGTATGAATGAAGTGCAGGGGTGCTACTAACAACTATCAGTGCACACCTAAAAGAGCTTTGGAACAAACTTTTAAGGACAATTTTATGTTTTTAACCCTACAGAGCTCCTACAGGATTACATAAGGACTCTATTATGATCACAGCTTCAGAAGCTTTCTGGCAACTTTGAGAAAGAAAAACCTGCTCCTTTCTCCCCTCCCACCAATATTTGCAAACTTTTAGTTCTGGATAGGACTGAAAAGCTTAAGTGCTACAGAAATACATAAAGCCCTGTGTCTGCATTGATGTTTTAGCCTAATTTCACTGATACAAACCAGGAGAATTATTTATTATAATAAACCTTGTGTAATTAATTTAACACAGCTCTACAGACCAGTCTCTAAGGACATTGCAAGGAACTCCCACCTGCTGACAGTTGCTAGAGGTTATTTTAACTATTGGACAGCTGAAAATCAGCTTTGGAAAAGAAATTAAACCATGGAAGACAGAATTTAAGCTTGATTTGGGTTGAGGTTTTGGATGCCTTCTCTGGCTGCAAGAACATGCAAACAGAGGCCTCAAGAGAACAGCAGGCTCAGCCCCCTGCACCTCCTGGCGTGGGCAAGGGGAATTCACTGATTTGGAGCACAGTGGGAAAAAAGAACAGCACACAAGGCACTGATCAGTGCCTTGACTGGACCCAACCAGGAAAGGTCTCAGGAAGGGCCCTATGACCCCAACATGGGCTCACCACAGTGCCACTGAAGTTTTTGGATATAGAACAGGAATACAACAGAGTTTCTCACTTTATATCCAAAGGATAAATGAAGGTACAAATTGAGATATCCTGGGTGAAAGAATAGCAAAAGAAGTCCTGAGCCCACTCCAGCTCCAGTGGGAATCTGCTTTGTGTGCACCAGAGCTGGAACTTACTGATAATGATCCTTACCAAACACCAGAGCAGGAGTTTTTTTGGCAGGAAGCCACAGCCAAAATATTCTATCATTTAAGATTTAGTTTTGTGGAAATTCCTTTAGTGTGAATGCCTGTGTAACTGGGAGCCTTTGTGAAAATCTTGACTTTTATTTCTAATAAAAGTCAAGATTACAGTTCCTTACAGTAAGGCAGTAAGAACTTACAGTTCCTTACAGTAAGGCAGTAAGAACTGCCTTACTGTAACTTATCACCAGTTTGTAAACTTGAACTGTGCCCACACAATACGAAATAAATTCCACCAACCTTTCCCTGCAGCCAGAGCACTTTCCCATTACCTGCTCTTCCATCTCAAACCTTTAACTGACAGCTCATGAGCAGACCATGCTACTTTTAGATATCAAAACCTAAATAAGGATTATAATTGGCATACCAGGGTACACTGGCCTGTCAGATATAACACATCCATATATTTTCCCCACGAAAAGACAACTTTGTAATGTTGCAGTCACTGAAACGTTGTTTTTACCCCTGGAGTACCACTTGCACTAAAGGCCAGCAGTGATATAAAACAGGGATAACTACTTTGCAGGAGATATTTTAAATACTCTGCAATGGATCAGAACATCCACCTTGTTTGTGTTCTTTTCCTCTCACCACCTTTGTGCTGCACATCAAGAACAACTTGAGTCCCTTCACCTGCTTACAACTGCTCTTGTGCAAAATGCTTTTAAGGTGCTTATACCGTGGTGCTTCTAAGCAAGCTAAAAGAAAATGCCAACAGAAACAGTGTTAAATGACTCATGGGTAAAGCCATTAAAGACCAGATGCTGCCTTTACAGGAAAGCTGAAGACAATTCAAGTTTGACACTTTCATTGTATTCCAGGCCTTGCATTACCTCTTATTCCCCAACACAACTTTTAAGACTACATTTCAACCCACACTACACCTTGACCTGGGCTCAGGAGGTTTAATTTCCACCACTGGTTTTTCGGGTTGGTTTTTTTTTTTGAGTGAATTAAAAATCTTCTGGCAGTCATCTTTAAATTTACATCAAAATGACCCTGACAGAGTGTAGACAAGAGGTTCCCAGGCATTCTTGCTGGAAAAGGTCTTCATTAAGGAAAAGAAGGATGGAGCAGCTGCAAAAGGGGGCAGATTTTGTACTAAACAAGGAGCTTTCCAGTAAGCAGTTGTGTTCTTTGATAAGCTTTCAAGCATTTCAAACAGGCACCTCAAAACTAGGCACAAATGGCCCCTAAAGCTTCCAACATCTATCAAACACTCAAGAAATTCCATCTGGGGGATGTTCTGCGTGATACAAAGGGCACACTTATGTTTGCTTATATTATTAAGTCTCAAATCTACATATATTCATACCTAACTATTTGGCCAGATAATGTCCATCTTCCCCCACCACAACAGAAGAAAGCAGCTTATCTAAAGTATTTCCAACACCACCAAGTCCTTCACAAGTATAAGCAAAAACCAGCCAACATCTCTTGTGAGATCTGAGTTATCACCACCACTCCTGGTGCTTGGGCCAGAATTCTCCTCAAAGGTTTTTTTCTGCTGTCTCAAAACATTGATTTCTGTCAGCCCTGGGGTCTTGCACTTGAAAATTCAATGATGACAAATGAGTCTGATGTTTGAGTTTTGGTCACTTCACAGTCTAATGTCACTAATATATTTAATATTTAAAATCATCCTGCTATGTCACTACAGTTGCTCAGTGTCTACAACTTTTGAAAACACTTCTAAGCATATCTCTGAATCAACTACCAGCAGTAAGCATTGGTTTTGAGTCAGGAAACCCCAAGGTAATTCTGGCCCTGAAATTAATTTCCTCTCCATCAGAGCATTAAGGAACAGCTGAAGTCCTAACACCAGACAGAGAGGGTGAGTGAGTGCTGGCCACAGGATGCTGAAAGGAATTTGTCCCTAACTGTGAAATTTCTTGGTCAGAATTCCCTTACCTGGGCACACAGCAAGGCTTATTTATTTTCCCAAGCTACCCCTACAGTTAGGCAAAGAGAATTTTGCATTTCTGCTCTGTAATATTTGTACATGCGGCGAGAAAGTCAGAGAGAAGCAACCTTCTATTAAAAAAAACAGTCAAATAAATAAAAAATAAACCCCAAGTGCCAAGTTGATTTAAATAAAGTGTCAGTTTGTCTCATATGCCAAACAAACCTAATATTGGGTGTATTTAGTGGAAAGACTGCTGAGGAAAATAACACAGTAGTTGTACTAATGGATGGGAAATGTAAATAACAAAGGATTGAGCTGCATGATGTTGTTTTCAAGTGGCACCAATGTTTCTGAGCCTGAATTTTGACAGTTTATGCACATATTGACTTTCTCCAGCTCAGTGCAGGACACAATTTGTGCTAAGAACCAGAAATGTTCATTTTCCTGTTAGAGGCCATAACCAGCATTTCTTTTGGGTCACAAGGGATCAAACTGAAGTGCAGGATCTTGCATATCCCTTTGGTTTGTGTTTCCACAGAACCTCCTCAGTTACTGGCACCATGCAAACACAGACCTGCCAAATCAACGGTGATGAATCAACTCTGGCACATCACATTGCTCAACTCTGCATAATAGTCATGGGCAAGGGAAAGGAATTGAGTTGAATCAATGAAGTGCCCAATTACAAAATGAAGAATTTGCCCTTCACAGCAGGGTCTAAAGGTGTGAAGCAACAAAACTCACACTGACACTTTATGTACAACTTGGTCATGGGCAACGGTCCCCTAAACCATTTTTTTTTAACTGAACCCAGCAAAACTATACAGAATGTGAAAGAATATTTCCAACAGATCTCAAAGGACAGTGTAGAGAAATTCATTATGGTGTACCTGATGTTTAAATTAACTTAACAGATACGGCCTGTAAAACAAACACAGTATGAACCTGTGGATTTTTTTTTTTCTTTTTAAAAAAAGGACTTTTACAGAATTCAAGTAGTGTAGCAGGAAACCATAGATGCCTTTTGATCACAGGTCAGGCAAAATAGAGCCACTTGTTGGGTTTCCCCCTTGCTTGTGTCTGCTCAGGTGTCCCAGTGGATCTATAAGTCTGTGGATGTGAGCTTTTTCATGCTCCGTCGCTGAGCTAAACTGGAGGCTGCCACAGGCTCCAGCACTGGCTGAAATGTCTTGTGATTCAGTGCAGAATATGTAGCAGCCATGGCTCCCTGGAGAAAAAGGAAATAGGCAATATTAATTCATATATATAGAAGTTTTATTCAGAAAATAAAGCAATTAAGCATTAAATACTCAATTAACTCCATTAAAACCACACAAGACTTATGCCAGGTCATGTGAATTCTCTAAAGTTTGTTAGGAAAAAAGAACACCTCTTTTTGATTCCTTCCAATGTCTAAGTGTGGGTGTCTGACACTTCTTTCTCTTTCTTTTGTACCCCTTAGATGTAGGAGTCACATGTTAATGTAGGTCAGAATTTGTACCTTTCAAGCCAGATTAGCACCAATTTCTCAAATACAGCCACCTCAGTAGCTCCTCAGGTCCTGACCTTGGAGATAACTCAAGAACTACCTTACAGGAAACACAGACAAAAATCTCTTCCTCCACACAGAGGTTAAAAACAACTATTTACTAATTTAATTTGTAGAGGGACTTTATCCAAGGGTATAACCCAGGACAAGGGGAATGGCTTCCCACTGCCAGGTGGGATACTGGGAAGGAATTCCATCCTGTGAGGGTGGGCAGGCCCTGGCACAGGGTGCCCAGAGCAGCTGTGGCTGCCCCTGGATCCCTGGTAGTGCCCAAGGCCAGGCTGGATGGGGCTTGGAGCAGCCTGGGACAGTGGGAGGTGTCCCTGCCATGGCAGGGGGTGGATGGTGGACGGCCCAGCCTCAAGGTCCCTCCCAACCCAAACCATTTCATGAATTTGTCCCACCATGTAACTTAAATGTGTTGGTACTACGGAAAACAAATAGAAAAAAAATGGCATTTCTGTCTGTAGCTCTAAACCAACTGAACTCCTTGCACAACCCCCAGCTGAAGCAGCATCCCAGGTGGGTTTACCTTTACTAGATGTGGGGCATCTTGCCTGTTGAGCTGATAATGAGGCAGCTGGTCCCTACAGGCAATCCAGGAATGCTTCAGCACCTGCTCAGCCGTGTACCGCTGGTGGGGATCCACATGCAGCATGTGTGACAACAAGTCCTGCAGGGAAGGGAAACACAAAGATTGCTCAGTCCAAATCATCTTAGGTGGCCTTTAAAGCAGCAGGGATGGCAGCAATGAGAGAAGCACCCGATGTGGAGGGATTAACACAATGCCACCACACAGAGATCAGCAGACAAACGGGATCATTCTGTGCCCTGACACTGCAGAAGGCTGAGAACAATGTGTGGTTCTATTGGAGCAGTTCAACAGAGCCAGCCTTGATTGCAAAGCAACTCACTGTTGTGCTTTTCATGTTTATTATGAATATAATCTTTAAAAGACTAGAAATCCTATTAAAATGTAGCAGGCAGATTTTATGGAGGAAAGCTATTATTTGCAAATCTCTCTCCTTGTTCATTCTGCACTTTGGGCTCTGCTGACTCCTTACTACAACTGAATTCAGAGACAGTGAGACACCAGCAAGGAATTTTTCCTTCAAGAAGCCACATAAAGCATAAAGCCAACAGCAATGGACACTTGTTTTTGCCTGTTAGAAGCATTAGCAATAAGCTACTGATTAATTACAATGTTGGTCCAAAGGAGAGGTGGGTGGGAAGGGCACAGAACAGAGACAGCAACAGTTTGAAATAAAACCAAAATATGAGCAAGCTGACAGAATGTTCCCTTTGTTTTAGGTACAAAATGTGAAGCATTCTTAAATCCACAGAAGTGAATTTCTCATGCTAAGACAGGAGCAGCCAACAAGCATTCTGAATCACTCCTACAGAAATGAACAAATAATGCAGTTCCAAAGGATCGGGAAAAAATATTTAAACATTAATATTTAATATTAATGCTGATCTTTTTAAAAGGTAACCCTGGTGATTAAGATACCCACAGAGTGGGTCAACCCCATCCCAGGGAATTCATATTGATTACAGATGGAGTCTTTAAATGAAATGTTGGAGCAGATACCCTTCCCTGCAATAAAGTCTGCAGATTATAATAACAAACTACACTTCTGGAGCAGTCTAGCTCACAAAGCTCAGTAGATTTCATTGGAATTCTACAAAAATATAAAACAAAAACACATTTACACCTTTGCTGCATCTGAAACAGTGTCCCAGTTGCCTCCACTTAGAGAGAATTTTCCACTGCCTATCCGTACTAGGATCTCCTCAGGAGTATCATTGGGACCATTGGCAAATGGAGTATAGCTGGTGAAAGAAAAAAAAACAACAAAAACACCTTGTTTGGCAAAATCTCGTGAATCAGAGTGAGTATCCCACTGGCAACAGAAACATATCACAGAATATATACATATACTATTAAATATTTCTAATATTAAATGGGAAGTACAGATTTATCAAGAGAATAATTTCTGACAGGATTTAGCCATAAGACTAAAAACCTGCTCTTTTTCTGTTAGAGCAGAATTCAGCAAGCATCTCTCATTTGGCCACTAGATGCTTCCTAGAGCTTCATGAGGTTTGGATGTTTAGGAAACTCCAAAGATCACAACCCAGAGTATTCTACACAGGAATGCAGCAGGGGCAGGAGACACAGGGGGAGTAAAGGGATGGGGTGGGAGCACAAGAGGCTGGAGGGTAAAACAAAAACCCACCACGTATTTTCACAGCCTCAATTCCCTCCTGAAAACTGGGGGCAGTCTTTGGCACCCCCAAGTCCTGCACTATGGGAAGAGAAACCTTGAAATATTTGTGAGATAAATCTGGGGTTTTTTTTTGGCTTTGACTCAGAGCTGCTTGTCCCACCTGAGTGTCTGTGTCATTCCATGAGCCAATGCCTCACCATTTCTATGGAAGCAAGGATTCAGGCAACATTCTGGGATTTAAGGTAAACAAAACAGCTCAGAAATATTCTCACCCTGCCAACATTGTGTAAAGGAGAACTCCCAAGCTCCATATGTCACATGCAGCATCATATCCCTGTCTCATGAGAACCTACGAAACAAAGAGTGTTAAAGACTTGCCATATATTAAAAAAACCACCCCAAACCAACACCACAGCCTAAGGAAGGGTAAAGACCATCCCTGCATCATGTCAGAGATTTGACTATTGATATTCTAATATACAGGTTGCAGTAAATACCAACAGTATTTCTTCTTCCTAGGTCATCCCTTTAAGATTTTCACCAGGCTCACATCTTATTTTTGAGGGTGGACTTAGCTGTTTTTAAAGCAGTTTTATAATAAACACATGCACTAGTGTTTAAAAAGCTCATATGATTATATTTAAAGAAAAGTAGCAGAATGGTTCAAGTTTTTTTCCAAGCATTGCTGAAAAGTTTTAGCATTTGATGCACCAAAAACAGCATAAAGAAAACACAGAGCAGATTGAAATACCTCTGGTGCCACAAAGTTCGCAGTGTAGCAGGGAGTTAGGAGTAGTCCATTTTCTCCTCGAAGTTGTTTTGCAAATCCAAAATCACAAATCCTGATGGAATCAGCATTGTTTGAATCATCAGTGTATAAAATATTACTGGGTTTAAGGTCTCTGTGCACCACCTTTAAACAAAGACATTTGAAAAGCCATATTTAGGAGTAGGTACATTTGTTTGTAATTTATCATTTATGAAAGCTGTTCTTTAGATTAATCTAAGAGTTTTAAACAATTATATAACTTTAAAGTACCAAAAAATTCTAGTTCAAATAATGCAATGAAAACCTCCTAGTTCATAATGCAACTGGAACCAACATCACCATGTGGCAACAAGGAGAACAGGACAAAAATCTGCTGCTTCATAAAGCGCAGAGTCCAAAGGCTTTGCCAGGATAACAGGATAAGTTGTTTCTACTATTCACCTTTGTGATAAAATACAAAACCTTGTAGCATGAGAACAAGCCAAGCAAACAGGGTAAGGGAGTGGTAATTCCAGAGCTGTGGCAGGGGTGTGGGGTGGGAGGGCTCACTCACCCCCTGGCAGTGCAGGTAGTCCACGGTCTTGGCGATGGTGAAGAGCACAGCGCTGGCCTCCCGCTCCGAGAAGAATTTCTGCCGCAGGATCCGGTCCAGCAGCTCCCCCCCCTTCATCAGCTCCGTGACCAGGTAGATGAATCTGCCATCATCATACACCTGGGGAGAGGTTTAGCAGGGCACTCAGAATACACTCAGAGCTATTAAAAGGCAACATCTGGAGTTACACATCCCCATAAATCCCCTCCCTCCCACCAGAGCGGGCAGCACAAACAGCAGGGGCTGCCAAAGCAGGGAGTGCAAGGCAGCAGCTCATGTGTCATCCTGGGAGTTCATGACTCAAGCTGTTAATTCATCACTCTCAATTCAAGTTGTTAATTCATCACTCTGAGTTATATTTTTCAGTGTAAGAACTTCCGTTAGAAGAGGAGAGCAGGCCTACAACTCCCTACTGCTCTTCCCTTCCAGGGCCATTCTGGCACAGACAGGACAAGATGCAGGCCACTGCTTTCTCAGCTTGCCAACACATTGGCTGCTCCTTGAAACAAGAAAAATGGCATTTCTAAACTTTATATCATTTCTCACTTCAGGCTGGTTCAACAGCCTTCAGAAAAAATTAATTTAAGGATAATGTTGTATTTTGAAACACCCCCTCTACTATTATTTACTGCTCTCCCAGTAGATTTTTCTATGTAAAAGAAATTTAATGAATGCAAATAAACTGCCTACATCTGTATTTATTTTCTCAGCACTGTCTAATAAGAGGCAGCAGAAAAGGAGGTACATACATCCTTTAAAGTAATAATATTTGGATGTTGCCCATAACGCATGAGAATCTCGATTTCTTCTGAGGGATCCCTTTTGCTTTTATCAATTATCTGCAAAACATAACAGGAAAAACAACTTGTATAAACAAAGACTATTAAATAAAAACATTTTTTGTATTTATATTCTCATTTCAACAACAGGAAAAAAAATTCTGGAGTTCGTTACTTCTTACTAATCGTCTTCCATTTTCTCATCTCATTTATTCATTTCTTGCTCTATCCTTGTTAAAATTCTATCATTAATGCAGCCTATCCTGCTCCACTGAACAAGGAAATGCAGTGGTCTGAAGCATCACTAATTCCCTGCAGCCCAGTTCCACCATTGTGAATCTCCTTTTATTTCAGGTGTTCCCATTATTGTAGAGGATTTTCAGCTTTTAAGATTGTAACTTATAAACACATAAACAATAACTGGAAAATTCACAAATACAAGTTTTCAAATAGGCAATATTTTCAGAGTGGGATTCATGCCAATACCTTCACAGCAAACTCCATGTTTGTAGCTATGTGGATACATCTCTTGCAAACAGAGTAGGAGCCCACACCAATATCTTCCTTCAGTTCATAGACATCAGTGAACTGTGCACTGTTCCCATGAAGCTGCTTTAAGAAAACACAGGCAAGTGGTTATCTAAAGCAACAGGATTCTCTTTGCCATTACTCTGGTACCAACAGCAGAAGTTTCTCCTGCTTGCTCGTGATTTTTCTTTGAAATTCTGCCTCCAGAGAAACAGTAACTCACTTTTTCAAATCAGGAAATATCCCATAGAAGTATTTCATAAGACACTTTTCATAATGGTCTCCTCAACGAAACAAGAACAACTGTAAACACTGAATATTGGTCAGCCTTTGACACACCAAAGAAGTTTCCCAAAAGCAAAGCATTACCTGGACTATGGGCAGGATGTTGGTGAGGGGTGATATTTTATGGTCTTCTACAGTAGTAGTTGCAACAAAACTAAATCCCTTGAAGAGCTGGTGGGCGTTTGCACTGGGTGGGACCCCTGGAGAATCTGGGGCAGACAGACACACAGGATTAGTGTGGCTACATCCCAGCAAGGCCATTTCCTAACATTCAGGAGAGGTATGTTAGAAAAACCACCCTGAGGGAAAGGAAGCAATCAGAGGAACATCAATGTTAAATAATAAAAAGAACTTCTAGTTTGTTATCTGTGCTCTTCAGTAACAAACACAAACAAGTATTCCAGGGTTTTATCTAAAACTGCAAAGCACTACAGGAATTTATGTATGAACACATGTTTTAAGGAAGAAGTTTACTGAAACAAAACTACTTATGGGAAAGAAATAAAGATGATTGTGTTGTGCTCAACAGCTTTGTAACACAGAAGAGCAACAACAGAATGTGCTGGTTGAGTGGTAAATGAGCTGCTGGCAAGGCACAAGTGAGACAACAGAAGAATATCCAATTAGTAAATTTTCACTGAAAGAAATGTTCCTGAACAATTAGAATTAAGTTTCCTCAGGTTATATTCTGTGTACCTCTGAATTCATTGTCTGAAATCTCACAGTGAACACAGCTCAATAATTTTGTGTAGCCTATTAAAAGCACAGACCTTCTCCAAGAAAATTTGGGAAGAGGGTTTAAAAGCTGGATGCAGCAGGAAAGAAAAAAAATCACAAAAGTGAAAGTGAAATGAAACTTGAAGCAGACCAAGCAATAATAATGATAATGTTTCTTAAAGCAAGGCACCTCAATGAAATACTGACCCTAAAAAGAATCACTGCTGAAATCAAATTGCATTTACTTGAATATTAAATACTTCCCCTCAAACACTGCATGCCTGACTTTAATCATAACTAGAAACCATAGTCCAGTTTTTCATATTCCACTTTTTTTTTCTTCCTGAGTCTAGCATAATATTCAAAGAACAGACACCTGCTGAATGGGGCATCCTCCTTCAAAGCACTGGAACCCTGATGCATCCTTTCCTTTTAGCTTTGTCCCTGGCTTCTCTGCTTGTTGTTTTAGCATTAATTTGACCCTCCTGTCCCACAAACCTCACCCATTTATAGCCATGCACAGTTACCTTTTGGTGTTTTTGCTGTGAATTCTGGATCAAAGCAGAAAGTATCTTCTGGCTTTCCAGAGGCAGGTTTGAATGGAGGCTGAATTTCTCTTCTGAACAGTTTCTGAAAGAGAAGGACAAAGACTTAAGAGTCAGTGAAGCTTCCATGGGTGCTGTTATTTTGCCAAGATAAAGGGTAAAGGACAAAGCCTCAACCAATGTCAGGCACGTCCCTCTTGGCAAGGAACTGCCCATTCTCAAAGCTCTAGTCCAGGTTTTTCCTAATCCACCAAACTAAATCAGGGAAAGATCTCAAACGTGCAGTAAATCCCATTTACAGCTAAAGAACAGAAAACTTCATGTCAAAAGATGTTGAATCCCCATGCAAAATTCAGGAAGTTCTAAGAGCATTTCCTTGCCTTTTCTCTCCTCCTTTCAGATCTACTTTTTGTATTTTTTTTTTTAATTTAACCTTCCTACACAAAAGCATACAGTGTATTTTAGTTCAAAAAAACCAAAACAACCAAATCAACCAACCAACCCCAAGGAAAAAGGGACCTAAATTCATCCCAAAGAAATAAAGAGGTAAAATACAGAAGTGTCATCAAAACTACTGGAGGGAAATACAAATTACTGTCAAACTGAAAAAAAAATAAAAATAAAGAGCTAGAACTGCAGAGCTTTCAAACTTCCCTGCTGGTATTTATTCCAACATCAGTCCCTTCAAAAGGAAAAAAATTAAACAATTAAGCCAAACAAGACAACAACTGCTGAGGTGTATTCACATAAAGCAGTGAAGTTTTGTGCTACTGAAAACTTGTTGCTGAACAGACTCTGAAGTAGCTAGGTAGCTGCTGCCTGAACACAGCCAGAAAATCACTTTTCAGAAATAAATACAGGAGATAAATAGATTGATAATGATGAGGGGCTTTGAAGAATAGGTGAGCATAGCACTGCCCTGTGTGGGTGCAGCTCTGTCAGCACAGCCACATCTTACTTATTCCATCAACCACTGCAGCACCACAGCAAAGGGGGGATTTATTTCACACAGCACCTTGGCTTTGAGAACACTTCTGGCAAACACAGCTCAGAGGATGAGTGAACCACAGAGCAGAATCATAAGGTGCTCATGAGAAACTGAAGCCAGAAGTTGTGATCTTGTAGCCTTTGGATCACCTTGGAGCACTTGAGTTAACTCCTGACCTGTACCTGGGATGGGAGTGATGCAGAGGGAAGTCCAGGACAGTTACAGCCACAGGGAGCTGTTGTGAGACACTTCCTGAAGGATTCCTGGGAACACCAGCAGCTTTCTCCCAACTACAAATGCTCTAATGGACTATTTCAGCTTGAGAATGCTGCAACTCTGAATTATTTAAAAAGTAAATGCACTATTTATAATTAATACTCTCTATCTGCAGTAAATACTGCAGCTCAAGATGCCAGGAATTACAGGAGAAGCCAGGATGTGCCAGTCAGCAGTAATGCAGTGTTTGCTGTGCCCTATGCAGATGTAAATGCTTATATAAATGCTACAACACACAGAAAAATTAACAACAGCTTTATCATTCAGATCCTTTTGTACTCACATTCCAGTCAACAGTAGAAAAAAAAGGATGTCTCTTAATTTCTTCAACTCCATCTGAACCAGCTCCTGAACAAAAGAAATACTGTATTTAACACACTTGTGGGTAAAGTCTTTGAAGATTGCACTAGAAGTTAGTTCATTTCTAAAAAGTCTGTGCAGACATGGTTATTGAGGGAACTGTGAACACAAAAATATTCCAAGGATGTAAAATATTCAGGGAGGCAAGAGAGCAGAAGAAGCCCAAAAGTACAGTGTCAATATTCTTTGCTGTGACACTGGCAGAGCTTTGGCTCACTCCTCAGTCAATAATCCCACACTGTGACCATTCCTTGGCCAAACCCAGGAACTCATGATCCAAACTTACAGGAAATGTTACCCAAATGGTTAATGGTTACTGATCACCCAGAGCTTGACAGTCTCTAGCAACTACTTTTTTTTTTTTGAAATAAAATGTTAGGCTGAGTTGATTATTTAAAGATCCAAATAAATGAACCAACCTAATCTATTTGATGGGTTCCTTTTAAACAACATCCTCAGGAGACTTTGTGCTTCGGGGCTGAGGAACTGAGGCATTCCCAGCTTTGCTCTAAAAGAAAACAGAACAAGTCAGAGAAAGAAATTTATCTTAGTAAAAACTGTCTACATAGATTTCCCTGCACAGTTTGATGTGTCAAGGATCTAGTCCAAAGCCTTGTAGAGTGCACATACTTAACTAATCAACTTTTTAAGTTTCTTATTATAGGAGTGGTTTAAAATAAAACCCAACAAGGAATAAACACATCAGACCACAACAACCAGGCCCCACCCAAGCCCCCAAAGCAAGCTTTATGCTGAAACAGAGTAAAATAATTATCTCAGGAATGTGTAAGTATTTTCAAAGATGTCTTCATGTCACCATGAGGTTTTTACCCAAGTAACTACCAGTAGTCTCAGAAGAGACTCACCAAATCCCCAATTACCTGCCCTTGAAGTGATTGTTACTATTCCTCCAGGGTTCATTGAGCCATTATATAGAATGATCTATACCATCACTGACTTCACCATTTATTTTATTTAATGGAAACTCTAATGCCAAGGCAGGAAGCTACTGTGCAGAACTGCAGCATCACTGGGAGCTGCAAGTGAGGCAGCTCGTGGTGTAATCCATCCTTTCACAAGCAGCACCACCATGAACTCCCACTCAGGGCAAGCTCCAAGTGCTCTGTGCGGGGAAGAGCAGAGTTTCTCCCTCCTCCCCTTGCCCATCACCCCTCAGAGGGCCCAAGGCTCTGCCTGTGCCAGGAGGAAGCTTTGTTAGCTGAGCACAGACAGATGAGAACATATTTGCCCAACAGCTCCACTCGCTGAGCACCAGCTCACCCAGTTTGTCCAGTCCAACAGCTTCTGTTGTAACTGGGGTAATTTAAGATGAGAATTTGAGCACATAAGAGCCCTCCACACATCTGTACACAAAGCAACACCTGATCACCTGCTGCTTACAAAACAAGGTGTGCTGTAACAGTAGCAAGGGAGTGTAACAACAACAGGAGTGAAAAATCAAGCTGCTCTCAGTCACTGGGCTGTCCTTATCTTTATTATACGCCCACAATCAAAGTACAGATTCATCCCTGAGATTTTAATTTCTGGGGATACTTAATGGTACTTCACAGTCTGAGATCTAAAGCTTATCAAGGGGTTTTGCTTTTTGCTCCTGTTGGAGCTCAGTGCTCTTAGAATCATAAAATGATTTGGGTTGGAAGGGACCTTAAAGCTCATCTTGTTCCACCCCCTGCCATGGAGACACAAGACCAGGCTGCACAAGGAGTTGTAACAAGCTGTTAAAACATGTTTAAAATGACATTTTCGGACTTCTGAAAAAGGAAGGAGATATACTTACTTCAGTATCATATTCATAGTCTCATTTCGATCTTTACCTTGAAATGGCAGGGTACCAGTAAGCATTTCAAACTGGAAAGAACAAATGTTAATCTAAATCAACACTTCTTCCCCCAATTGCTGAAACAAAGTGTTAAACATTGCACTCTTTCCTACCTCTACATCACACTGGCTGAACTCTGAAAAGATTATGGAAGTGTTCCCAAATCTAAAATTCTGCTCTCACTTGTGGTTTACATGATGACAACAGTGGCAAGTGTAGCATGATGATGATGGAGGAATATTATACATCAAGAAGCTACTTGAAAGTGATAAAATCTCCTCCACAACCAGGTTTTAGATGCTGCCATATTCCAAAAACTGCAAGAATGGTAAATTCTAAAACAGTAGTTTACTTTTCAAGTCCCATCATGTCAGGCTGATGCTCTAACACATCCCAACAAGGGCAGAAGTGGCAGCAGTTATTGACTTATCTCACTACTCCACTCCAGCATCCCTTCCACAGGCTCACTCTCACAGAAATGCCATTAATACCCCTTCTTCAAACCAAATCTTCAAGTCTGTTTTTAAATTTAACTATCAAGTAGCATGCAAAATAAATACACAAAGTGAAGTCTCACACTGAGTACAACTGGTTTTAACTACTAATGCACAACACAGGATTTTTCAGGTGCCTGACAAACATTCCTTAGAGGCAAAAAGTCAATTTTATTCCACCCAGTAGCAACTCAGTCATTGAATTAATTGTCCCCCTTACCCAAGCATCCCTAATCAGAACTGGACAAGCTTATTCTAAGTGTATTTGTGTGAGCTTAGCAAGGGAAGCAAGAGGCAAATACAGTACCATGAGGACCCCAAAGGACCACCAGTCAGCACTCTGGTTGTGCCCTCGCCTGTTTACCACTTCAGGAGCCATGTACTCTACAGTACCACAGAAAGAATAGGCCTTCTTCTCTTGGTCTACTGATTCCTTGCTCAGTCCAAAGTCTACAACAACAGCATCACAAGAATACAGCCAGTAAAGAACTTCAGGGGAAAAGAAATCAATCAATATATGGTAATTCAAAATGCAAGTGTTGAGAGGTTTGGGTTGGTTATTTTCAGAAATATGATTAGCACAGCTCTCCATGAAACAAGAGACTGCAGGTATCTGGAGATAGCACATTTAGTTTACTACACGCCTCCAAAACCATTCTAAAAGTAATTAAATTCATGATTAACCATCAAAATTATTACTGAAATAACTTGACATTTGAAATCCTACACGTTTAGAGCTCTAAGATACTCAGAAGTTCTCATTTTCTCTGTTTACTGCCTGCTTTATTCACACAAAAAATTGGATGAAAGTAAAAATCAGTTTCAAAGGGAATGCAGCCTGCATGGTCTGGTCTTACTGAATGATGAATAAATGAAATGACACTGAAATTATTGCTGTTACATAAGGCAACGTGGTTCTGTAACCTGCCTCAGGTTCAGCACAGAACATCCTGCATTCCCAGCATATTTCATTCTCAGAACGCTTTTTTCCCTTTTTAGAATACAGTGAATACACAAGTCCTTGACACTGGCTCAGCTCTCAAGCACCATTTTTTTTCAGAGGGGAAAATGATTGCTAATCAATGATCCCATCCATTATTTCCATTCTGAGAAGGAAGTGACAAATTTAGGATTGAATTGTATTTAAATATAGCAGAATTTTAAAAGGTATGCATTTTATAAACCTGATTTCCAGCACCATTGTTCTATCAAGTCTTTGAGGGTTTAAAAAACTTCATTTTCTCTTGGAATCTAACAGCAATATCTTAGATTAAAATATATGATGAAATCTCTAGAAAATCATCACCTTCAATATAATTTAAAACTTCCAGTAACTTACAGTAACTTTTTTTCCAGTCAGTCCTTTATATACATAATTTTCTAGAATATATGTATTTGGATTGTTCCTCACAGGATTACTTTCTGCAATTTCATATGCATTTAAAATTGATAATACAGAAACTCAAAAAAAATTCTTTACAAAGGGCTGTATTAATGAGTGGTGCCTACCTGTTAACTTGATATGTCCTGCTTCATCAAGCAAAATGCTGAAAATTAAAATTCACATTCACCAAAACACATAAAGAGCAATGTTTACATAAAACATTTAAAATACAAGTTAAAAATTATGATATCCAATTGTTATTACTTTAACTAGCAAATCTTATTTCATTTAAACCACAGACAGGTGTTTTATATTTTGTATTTGTTTACGAAGTCTTAACAGAAATAGTTTTAATTATTTACAGTGGAAAAGGCAAAGCAACAAGCAAAATACACATAATAGTGGTAAAATACATTTTACTTTACTTTTCTGGCTTCAGGTCCCTGTACACAATTCCCAAGCTGTGAAGGTGATCCAAAGCAAGGGCCAGTTCTGCGAGGTAGAATTTCACATCTTCCTCTGTAAACATAACCTAATAAGAACTGTATAGATTTACCTTCTGATCTTGTCTTCAGTTTTTAAAACTGCAATCTAAAAAAAATATAGTCCTGTCTACCTAAATTTCAAACTTAGTTTTAAAAGTCCCTTGTGAACTCATAATTCATGAGTTCAGCCAAGAGAAATTATTTACTAATATCTGTTAATTATAAAGTACACAAAGAACTACCTGCAATACTTAAATAAAACCATCAGCATTACTGCAGAGCATTAATTAACTTTCAGACAATAAATTAATTATATTTGATGTAACTGACACCCAGCACTCCTCTTGCCACAATCCCAGACAGTTTTCCACTGCATCATAAAATCTAATATAATTAAAGAATCCTGGTGAGACACTGAAATACTGATATTACTCCTAGAGCAGAGATGCACTTCTGTCCTGAACACTCCACAGGTTGCTTCTAATTTAATATACAAAACCTGTGCCTGCTTTGGCTCTTGTCATGTTCTACAAATTCCTGCAGGAGCTTGGAATCTTTAAATGGATTGAACTTGGGCTTTAAATTCCCTTATTTGCTGAATCCAGCTGGAATGGGGAGTGCAGCCACTCAGCAGGGCTGAAATGAAGTACCTGGGCTCCCTGACTCGGTGCCAGTGCTCTGTATCTGAACTGCACAGGTGTGAGCTGTTCTCCAGGCACAGAGTATTCCCTGATTTCCATAAGGACAGGTGCTGACCTGGGGTGAACAACCTGTGTCACACCCCACACAGTGTCACCTTCACACCTTTAATGGGAATGGTGGGTTTCATCTCTTTCAAAAGAGCAAAGGGAGACCTTGGATTTCATTACTCCTCGGATTTCATTACTCCTTGGAGCAGCCAAAATGCAAATCTCAGAATACAATGATGTTAAATGCTAATCTACCATCTCCCCATAATGACATCTAAAGCTGTTCTCTGGGTCAAGTTAAACATGATGCAAGTCAGCTTCATTAAATATTACCAATAAAAACTTCATTACGCACTCACCTCACTGCCACAGCTGAAACTCTCATACCCACATTAGAATTTAAAGACCAACAAAAGTCTTTTAATAACTTCATACTAAACCAAATTAATTTAAAATAATCCTTGTGTGCAAGGTATGGAATGCCTCAGGGAATTTATCCCCATGTGCATTGTCCATAGGGATGTCCATAGGGACTAAAATACACTGTATGGTTTTGTGTAGGAAGGTTAAATTAAAAAAAACATAGGCTGTGTTTTACCATGGACTTTAGAAACTACCTCACATTCCCAACAAGAAATAAAAACCTGATTTTTTTTTTTTGTATCTATATACTTTAAACCCCGTATAAAAGGGAACTGAAGTGTTTCAAAAAATAGGTGGAGTCTTAGAAAAAAACTTCAGATTTATGACTTCTTGAGGGAACACACCCCCCCTCTTTCAACCCCCAGCAAGAGTTTTTTATGGATAGCCTTGCATCCCTTATTTCAGAATGTTCCATAGGGGATAATCCCAGCTGGGTTAGTGCAAGAGAACAGCTCTTCCTGCTAGTCCAGAATTCCCTCAGGAATTAGATATTGCACATCAAAGCAGAGCCTGACCTCCTTCCTACCTCCTGCTCCAATAACCTGGGACAAGTCAGTCACTTTAAGTTTTTAACAGCCATTTTACCTTCCAGATTAATTAACTTTGAGCTCAATTTTTGGACATAATCACTGTGTTACCAAGCTCAGCTTTTAACAAAAATACCTTTTCATTATTTCTTTTTTGCCTCTTCCTGAAGTAAAACCTGTATTTTTATAAGGGGAAAAAAATTCTCCTGGCCTTACATACTGGGAATAAACAACCTCCTCCATGCCATGAAAAAAATCAGATAACACAGTTTTCTCATTTAAGAAAGTGGCTTTTCCTGTGCTTTGTCAATATAAACAGATTTACAGTGGTGGAAACATTGAAAACCTCTCTTGCTGTGAAGCTGTTGAGAAAGTGCCATTAAAAATTCAGACCTTTATAAAAGGTTTGCCAAAAGAAAACAAAAGTCTTCTAAACATGTTCATAACACTTAAGGTAACATGTAATAAATATTTGATGGCAAATGTTTTAAAAGAAATAACAACAGCCTGTAGCTGCATCCCATTCCCTCCTCTGGAGCTCTCCCTCCAGGAAACAAAAATAGAAATGAAAAATTCAAGGTCCAGTTGTGTGCCAGGGTTGGATGGAGGGGAGTGGGCTCAAAAGCACTCTGTGTTCTCACTTTGTGGGATTCAGGGTGAGCATTTGCATTGCAGCAAGAGGCAATTTTACAGTGCAGCAGAAAGCTCTCAGGGCTGCAGGGTTCCAGGAGCACCTAAAGCTGACTAAGAGCATGAGAACTACACATCCCCTTCTTTCAGTGCTAAATATTCATTTACTTCAGTTGTGTTTCCAAGCAACAAAACATTTTTAGACAAAAGAACTGTACTTTGCAGATGCCAAATTAAAACTTGGGCTACTCATCAATACACACTCGGGTTTCTTAAGGATAGAACAGAATCTAGAATATGTAAGGAAAGCCCAAAAGTTATTAAAAATTTCACTATGACAAGAAATATGGAGGAAAGCAGGTTTAGAAGCCAATCCTGTACCAACAAAACCCAATTTCTGTCTAACAGTGAGTGGAGATAAAATTTTAGGTACTTACCTCTTTGGATAATCGTGTGAATACATCTCCTCCCCTGAGAAAATCCAATATTAAATAGAGCTTCCCTTCAGTCTGAAAGGCTTTAAAGAAATTTTTAAAAAGTAAATAAAAATCAATAGGTGTATGACAAAGCTACAAAACAGATCTGAATGCTTTTAAAACTAGGAAGTTTCAGTCACAGGCAATACTTTTGTTGTGGAACTGAAATAATTCAGCAGCACACAAGGTAATTTATTGAATGATTCCTCACTTCCTCACAGAAGAAAATCTTAGTCATGAGAGATGATTAAAATAATGTTCTTTTATTTCTCCTCTGTTAAACAGGGAAACAGCAAAGATGTCAATTACTGTGGTTTGATTTAAATCAATGAAAAGTACAAAATCCCTGCAGAACTTGAAAAAAAAATTTGAAAAGTTCTTACAAGAGGGCTCCTAAAACTTTTATATAGATATGTATTCACATTCCCTTTTTTTTCCCCAAGCTGCTAAAACCTAATGTGAACCCTCCAAAAGTGAGACAGCACAAGAGCAGCTAGGCCTTCAAGCAAGGAAAGGAAGTGTAGGCAAAGCAAAGGAATCTGTACCAACCATAGTGCAGTTTGACGATGAACGGGTGATTTACTTCTACCAAGATGTCTCGCTCCATTTTGGTACGGACTCTGTCCCGAACTGAGGGGAGACAGGCAAAAATCAGCAGCAGTGTGAAACAAATGCATTTGCTACAACATAAACTCAGCAGAAAGGCTTTGCTGGCTAAAGGAAAATCTTCCCTCATCACCTTGTTTTTAATGTTCAAGCCTCCCACAGAACTCCTCCTTTCAGGCAGTGAAACTCTGGTTTGTTTCTTGCCTGCCCCAACTTTCCTCTTTGCATCATTATATTTCCAGCACATGCCCATATCTTGTGATAATCCATACTGCTTTCAAGAAAAAAGTTCCCATCCACATTCCCAACTTCAACTTTTGAATTAATTCTCTGTCCTGAGAAAGTTATCATTCTAATATTATTCTATATTTTAATAATATTAAATATATAATAATATATTAAATATTATTTAAACACACAACAATATATTTTGATGATTATATAATATTATCTATATTATTAATTTATATATTGTTTTTAAAATATTAACTATTTTAAAGATTACTTTCCCACCTTTAACAGTAACAGTCCTATTTACACACAGTGGACTCACACCCATTCAAGTGTTTCCTGAAAGCCAAAACACTAAATTAAATTGTTCTGGCTCCTGCAACAAGGGAATGACTTAATTTTAACCACAGCAGAGTTCTGACTTAACAAAAGACAAAAGGAAAACTGTTTATGAAATTAACTTGTTTTCATATAATGAAAAGTCTAAACAGAATTAAATAATCCAATTTTAAACTTTGAAAGAGCATTTCTGACCACATAATTAAAGCTACCTGGCCAGATTCAAAATAATACTTGAACATGAATTTGCAAGTTACTCTAAAAAAAAAAACACCTCCTGTCAGAGAAGAGTTATGAACTCACTGACAAATATTTAAGATTAAAAAAAAGCTTTTAAATACAGGTGCACTAAACCCAAAGTCTCAGTTGAAAGACAAACCTACCTTTTAAAGAAGCTTTTTTCAACACTTTCATTGCATAAAGCTGCCCAGCATCAGGCCCAATTATCTTCCTCACGAGGAAGACCTGGCAATATAAAGTCCATTTTAAGATCACTGCAAGGTCAGGAATGAAACCCAAACTCTCACAAAGCATTTGCAAACCTCCCATTAACGTCATGAGACATTCCAGTGCTCTGTACCAAGCACACACCTTTCTCAAGCATTGACACTGGCCAGAAACTTTGGATTCTTTCCTGATTTATCAAAGAAGTTCTTACAGAAAGATGTTTCTCCCTATCACTTTCTTGGAGAATGACAATTCTGCCTGGTCTGCCACCTCCCAAGAGGTTTTTGAAGTTTAAGACCCAAGTCTCGAGTATGGAACATTCATTTTTATTAATGAATTCTGTACAAGTGGTGAGATGAAAGCAAGGAAACCTCACCATTTAAGATCAAAGCGTCCTTTCCCTCTGGAATAGCAACTCCAACAGGTTTTTCTACTTTTTTCTCTCCAGAGGAGTTTTAGAGATAGATGGGCTATAACTTGACACTGAGAAAAGCGTATTAGATAAAATATTGCAGCACAAAGACACGAAGCTACACTAATTTTTAACCATCAGATCTTCCAATTTACAAAATGGTTTGATATGTGCTCCTTCAAAATTGCTGTTCCTGTAATAGCAATTATTAGTTATGAATTATTAGGTTTTGCCTTAAAAAACAGCATACAAATCACAAGAGAAAGCCAAGAGCTCCCCAAAATTACCCCTCTGATCTCACCTTATCCAGACTTTCATTTACAATTAATTTATTTTCAGTTAGAAATTATATGTATTTTTTCAGTGATCTTGTCAAATTTTCCATTCTAGAATCAGAAATTCAAGCACTGTCATGACTAAGTTGTACAAGGTTGGGAGAGGGGTTGTTTTTATTTTAAGCTCTGGTTAGAAGAAAAATGTCATCATGTTTCAAGGTTGTCTGGTTTTTTGTTTTAATAAGTTTTGCCCATTAACTGACCTACAACAGTGCTTTCTTATAGGCCAAGGTGATAGAAAATAATAAAGGGAGTAATTTGAACACCAGCAACTAAGAAAACAGCTGTAGGTGAATACAATCACAATTATAAATATTAATAATAAGCACATAGGAATATTTTAGTCTTAATAACCAACAACTTGTGAGAACATAAGGAATTCACGTACAACTTACAATTTTTAGCTAATAAGACCCAAAATAGCTGAAAACTACTGAAGCATCACCTATTTATTTAATTTGCAGACAAATCCTCCATAAATCCACATCTGCTTTAGAAGGCACATCATTCCAAATAATGAAGAGAGAAATTGAGTAATTCAGGAGGTTTAACCCTTTATTTCTGTGCAAGTGTTAAATCCTGCACTGATGTCAAAACCAGGCTCCGGGAAACCACCCTAGTGTTTGCCAATCCCAAAAGAAAAACCCTGGGAGTAGAAACTGGGAAGAGAAAACACCGTGAAGGCAACGGCCACTGATCCTCCTTGTCTGCTGTCTCCTCTCAGTGGAAAGAGCAGAGATGAAGAGCCCTGAGCTCAGGTGTGCAACAGGCACCGTGCAGCTCCTGAAGCTGCTTCCTGAGAGGCACTGCCAGGATTCCAAAGCTCCAGAGCACGTCTGGCCAAGCTGCTGGGATTCCAAGCAGGAGCACTCCTCAGGCTGGCAGAGCCCTGAGCTCTGGGAAGCCAAATCTGAGTCAGGGCTGGCTGTGCCAGCTGCGCTGAACCCTGAGGTAGCTTCAGACAGCTCGAGTCAGGAGTAATAAATATATGGAGCCTTTCAGGCTCCTACAGTGAGAAGTGTGTGAGGGAATTGGCAACCAACATTACCAAGTAAAGAAATGCTTCTGAAACCTCAAAATATTAAGAAATACTTGAAGTCTGATCTCTACGGTATCCCTTACACACAGATTGCTTTCCTAATGTCACTTTTTTCCCCTCTCATTGCACTCATGCAGGTTTGTTCCTGCCTAGACACACACAGAACCAGCAGAAGAACAGGAAAATGGGAACAAATGTAAAGCTGATTGACTACTTTAGATGTTGCAAAAGATGTAGTTTGAGTCTGGTTCTAAAAAATTAATTACCTTCCTATACACTAGGATTCATATTTCAACTACTGTGTTTCAACACAGTGACTGAGAGATCAGATTTTCAACTTCATTTCTGCAAAGTGACACCCAGTGGCACATTACAAAAGGAAAATATTGTAACAAAAACCCTGCCATATTTCTTCTCTGCGCCATTTGAATAATTAGTGTCTTTTAGCTGTAAATCACTTGATAAATACAGCAAACTAGAAAACCTGAAATACATTTCCCAGGTTATTTACTTTAAGTTCCAATCAACTTTTCTGTAGCTACATAAATACAGATTTTGTGTATCAAAAAACCCCAAACATTCCTAGCATGTCAAGTCCCATCTTTAAAAGACAAACCACCAGTTCCTTCAGAAGGTTCTGTCCATGGCACTGCAGCAAGGCTGGGAAAGGACTCAATTACTCAATACATTTTCAAACATTCCCAGCAACCCTGCTGGCCACTATTTCCCTGGAATGTCTGGACAGGTCTATGGAACAACTTTATCATCTTACCTTTCCAAATGATCCCTGTCCAAGAACCTTAAGTAGTTCAAACTGTGCTGGATCTGCTTTCTCACATCCTTCTTTCACATGGTGTGTAATAGGAATTTCTTTCACACTTCCTTCATCCTGTGATTTCAAAGCAAACAAAATACAACAGTGAACAGGCCTGCAGTAACTAAGTCTTGCTAAAAGTGCATGTAAATACCTGGATTTTTCTTTGTTTAGTTTTATTTTAGTAAAATATTTGAAATGCTAATAAGGCTTAAAGGAAAACTGTTCAAATGAAGAGGTTTTCCCATCTATCTTTTCTTAAATAGATGCACCTAAATTTCTACTGAAATACTGAAAACTGAAGGAAAATTCTCAAAGAATGCTCATTTCCTTTTGCCATAAATATTTCAACTACAAAAAAAGCTGGATTATTTTACATGAAAGGAATAAATGCACAGATTTTTAAACCAAGACTTCTATGCTTCACCTCTGCTTAGCAGCTTTAGTTTTCCCAGTGATTACTCTTCTCATCTTTCCCCCTTCCTGAAATAAGTCTTAATGAAAGCCAAATTGAATTTCATCATTTGGGGTAATTATTGCTTTTCACAGCAGCAAATAACAACTCTGGTCATCCATTTGTAGCTGGAGGAACAGGCAGCATTTGAAGACCATAAATAAGAGATGAGTCATCTTAAGGACTCTGAGAATTCTTGCATCCAAGAGAAGAAACAGCTCTGGGGTACAGAGCTCCTGAGAAGATTATCCTGTGTGGGGACCTCCTTCAGACAGCTGAGGGTAATTCTGAGCTAGGTGAGTGATTTAATGTTCTCTTGACTTTCTCATGTCCCTCTCATCTTCAGCAAAGCAGGGCACAGCAGTCCCAGTTGTGAAAAGACAAACGTTTCTGATGACAACAAATCCCATGATGGATTGCAGCTTTTATGGTGTAAGAGAAGTTTCTGAGAGCCAAAACAAGCAAAGTGTCAAAATAAGCACCCTTGAAATTAAAAGCTGAGGCCCACAACAGCAACCTCAGCTTGCAGGTAGAAAAGGAGCAGCACCCTCAGCCCTATCAAGAATATCAATAAAGTTCCTCTACACAACAAAATCACAAGAGAAAATTCCATCTGATTTGCAGTACTTCACTTTTGGGGCATCAAATGATTATCAGCTCTCTCCTACCCTCTCTTCAGGAGTTCACTTTAAAAGCTTCTCTTAGCAGAAACCAGAAAAACACCCCACCAACCTCCTGTGAGCTACAGCCCTGCGATGAGAAGTGCAAACAGCATCAGAAAAGGAACCTGAGCACTGGATGGAACAGCTGGGTTTTGGAAATAACACCATTCTACTGTCAGGTGAAATTACTGCTCGAGACTGTGCATTAAAACTTCCAATCAGCTTTATCACAGCTCACACAGAAGTACCTGGATGAAGTTCTTGTTTTACACAGAAATTCAGAGTAGAAATCTGCTCATCTGAATTTGTACATACTGCAGTAATTAAAGGAAAAAAAGAAGCAATCATCACACTGCATTAATTGCTTCTGCCTTAATTGCTTTGCTTGTCCAGAGGGGGAAAGAGTTCAAACAAATATCTTGGTATATTCCCAAACTGTAGTCCAGCTGTTCCTGCACATGAGTCCTTTCCCTTCCCCTCTCTTATTTCATCCTCCTTCTGGGAAAGGCCTGTTTGTTCTGCCTGCTTCCCACACAAAGGTGAATATTAACACCAGACACTGCTGGAAAACAAAGTTAATTCTATAATTCACAACCAAGCTACTTTATTTCCCTCTCTGGTCACAAACCCCCATCACACACTGATGACACAGTGTAAACATCCCAACTTCCCCTCATCCATCCCTCTTGGTGACTGTGCATTTAGGCACTCAGAGGAAAGATACACCTATCTTCTCATTTTCCTTTACTTTTTAAACACATGCCTAATTTAAGGCAGGTAAGAACAGCAGCATTTTGAAGTCATCTGATGACAGATGAAAGCAGCAAGTTGTCTAATTATACACCAAGTTGTACAACAGACTTAATGGCTGCTTCTTCCTATGAAATATGTAAATACTCTATTTAGAAGCCTTTTTTCTTCACCATCCTAATTTGTATTCCTTAACACCGTGAAACTTTGCATGAGAAAAGCTCTTTAAGAGTTCAGCCTCTCCTGTGTTTATCACCCACCTCGAGCCATTAGCCTGTGACATCACACGTGGTTGCTGAGGAGACTGAGAGGATTTCTAAATGTGAACTCAGGAGAGAAATGTTTTCCATGCAAATAAAGACTAATTTGAGATGGATGAAATGAGGTGGTTTTTTTATATAAAGTGTTTTATCTTCACAAAAGGTATCTATATAATTTCACTTACTTAACTACCACTAAGGTACTAAAAATTGGCATGACTGAGGTCTAGAGAGACCTCGTCATCACCGCCAAGGAATGAGCACACTGAGCTGAGCAGCTCCAAGCCACTTTCATTTTCATTTCTACTCTGGCCTCCACAAACTGCAAATCTATCTCATTTTGTGTTCTGCTGCTTGAGCAGCAGAATTCTTTCCAAGCTGAGGCACCAACCCCTACCCAATGGCCTTGCACAAGAAGGAACTCTTCCCTGCTCCCAGCAGGTTCACCAGGAGCTGAGGAGCCGAAGGAAACACCTGCATCACTCGTGGCTTTGTCACAGCTCCCTGGAACGTGGCTCCAAGCACCTGAGAGCTCAGCAACCTCCTCCTCCTCCTGCAAGAGCAGTAGAAAACTCAATCCACTGCTCCTTTCTTTGCTCCATGTGAGACCACTCTGACACTTTATTTACCCACTCCACACCAGGAAATGTCCAGGCACCACCTGGGTCTCCGCCTAAGACTTCATTTTCCAAATCCCTTCCTTGTAAATGTTGTTATAGTAACACAAAGCAGTGGTTACAGCTGGTGACAAGATCTTCTTATCCCAGAATCCCAGACTGGCTGGGGTTGGAGGGACCATAAAGGCCATCCAGTGCCACCCCCTGCCACGGGCAGGGACACCTTCCACTATCCCAGGTTGCACCAAGCCCTGTCCAACCTGGCCTTGAACACTTCCAGGGACTCTCTGGGCAACAGATACCTTTGTGACCCTGCTCAAAAACACAAGGATGAGAAATGCTGGCCAATATTTCCATGACAAGTAAAGCATTTCACCACACACAGGATGAGCCTTAAGTTTAGCCCAAGGTTTAGCCAGCACACAGAACACTTATCTTCAGCACCTCCTACACAGGCACTGGACAAACCCCATGCTGAAGAGGGGCTTAACTGGGATACTTCTACATAAAAGCAAAATTAACATACTGGTGTACCCATTAATTATGTTCTAAAAAAGCAGAATTAAGTACCTTTGAGCTGAAGGTACAGCAGCTACACTAAAAATTACAAAGGCAGAACAAATGATTGTAGCAAGAGCAGCATTCAGCACTCTGTATGAAAGGTTCCACATTGGCCTGAGCATTTCTGAGGTTGAGGGATCAGCAAATGCTCCCTCCAGCACAGGGACTCTTTCCATAAAGCTCTGCCTCATGCAGCAGCAGATTTTCCCAAACAAAGCATTTACAGTCCCTATCCAGGTACTAATTTCCAAAGCCATCTTGGAGACTTAGAGTCTCCTCAGATACTGTCCAAACAAAATGATGGGTTCAGAAGTTATTAAAGAGCAGGGAATGCATAAATTTTGCTTTAACAGGAGGTCATGCTAATGAGTGATGAAGTGAGCAGGAGTCAAACACTTACGTGGTAGGAATATGGTTCACCTTCTTCCATAGGCTCATCTGCCATTTTAAGGCCATTTAGCTGGAGAGGGAAATGCAGGGAAACAAAAAAAAAACAAAAAAAAAGGAGAAAAAACATCATTAAGACCCAGCAATTTCAAATTAATAAGAGTTCAAAATTCAACCAATTTACATTTCAGAGCACACAAGTGAAAACTGGTGGTGGGATTGCTCTAATTTAAAGCTGTAGTTTCAAACAAACACTACTACTCAGTAGTTATATTTAGCATCTCCCTTATGTATCATTTAGCATCTCTCTTTGTAAATGCCATCATTATTATTATTATGCCAGTGTTATTTAATTTGGATTAATTTAAAGCTCCTTTAAAAGCTACAGATACCACCCCTACAGGATGATACTAATGAAGAATTCCTCAGTTATGCACAAAACTTATGCTGCAGATGCTTTTCAGAAACCTAGCGTCTTCTAATGAAAATTAATTTGGAGTTTAAAAGAGAAAAGATGCAAAAGTGATTCCAAGCCTTTTGGAAATACCAAGTTCACAGCTGCAGTAAAAAAAAAAATATTCAAAACTTAGCTTAAGCATTCCCTAAATCACAAATAATTCAGTACTCAAACAAAAAAAAAACAAAAACCAAACCCCAGAAATAAGAAGGACAGGCTCTGTTTGGACATGTAAAGCATTCATTAAAAACTGGAAATACCTGACAAAAATGGGTGAATTCATTATGGATTTTGCTAGTAATAATTGTTCATTTATTTATATATTAATTGTTCGGCATCTCTACCTTTATGTGGCATGGATCTCACATAAAAATACTAACTAGAAATGACATAAGAAAACTTAAACTTTTTTTTTATGAGAACAGGAGTTGAACCAATTAAATTCTTAGGCTGGGTAATGACTTTTTTTCTTGTACTTGTGAATTGCTCTGAAATCCCTGCCTAAGATACTGAAAGATGGTACAGGAATACAAAGAAATGTCCCACAGATTCCTCTGTTCAGAACCAAACCCAGGATCTGGAGGAACAGGTGCAGGGACAGGTTTGTACCACGACTGTGTCACCCAGGCAAACCCTCAACCACTTCCACTGCTGCTACAGACTCCTGGCTTTGAGAGCTTTTAAGTGCTAATTCACAAATTAATGCTTTTGATAAAATTAAATCTCCAATTTTTCTAACAAGATACTGGCATTTATTTTTGTACTGCCTCCTCACTGGGAAAAAAAACCCAACAAAACAAAACAAAAAAACCACAGAAAGCAGATCAAGGAAATAGCATAAAGCTTCATTTATTTTTACTCTATAAGTTTCTATTTATCATAACTCAGTTTAACCAATGGTAACTCCAACCCACGGCCATCATTCATCTCATGTGTTGCCACCCCAACTCCAATGGCCAAAAATCACTCATTTATTACCCTGGATCCAGAAACCAAAACTACCCATTTGCTGCATAACTTATTTCTTTTTTACATAAATATTTTTCCAGATTAGACAATGGGAGGGACAAGACACTCACTATGTTGTTACTGTATGAATAACTGAATAAATCCAGAAGTAACACCAAAGTTCAGCCCAGCTCTGACCTCCAACCTCTTTTCTATTAAATTTACTTTTACAACATCATAAGACTACATTCAAGTGTGAACCAATGTGAAGCCCACCAAAATTGTCCAAAAAGCTTATTTGGAACTAGAAATAAACTGGGATTCTACTCCAGGTGCTCAGAAACGTAACAACAATGCTCCTCCAAGAACTTTAATTCAAAGTGATTTTATTGTGCATTTCACCTTTTCTTTCTATAAATATGGGCAACCTTTTCCAAGTTTTGTTGCTTAAATTTAAGCTCCAGAACCAACACTACAGATACAAAAAATGGGGCTGGAGTCGGGTTTTGAACTCAAAACCAGTGTGCTGTAAGTTGTTCCTGAGAACACCATTTAATGTACTTTTACTTGCTGGCAAATCAAATACACTAAGCTATTGGATTTTTATGGCAGGTAATCATCTTAATTAACAATTTCCTATAATACACTTTTCCCCTTCACTGTTGCTCCTTGGTTTGTATTTGTTTTTTCCTGTCCAGTCTCTCTGTACTAATACAGACTGGGATACCTGCCAATTTCTAGTCCAAAGAATTTGATGTTCAAGGACATGAATCTGCTTTTATCGCAGATACACACAGTTGTAGATACACACAACTACACTTTTGCCATATTTGTTTGCGAATCCTGGTCACTGCCCATTAAAAAGAACAAAAAACAAGGAACAAAAATCTGCAAACTTGTTGGAATAAAACCCAAAGTCTGGTAGCTTGTTAAGTAATTCAGCTAAAAAAAGTCAATGACAAAAATCAAATCATTACTGTCTTGTACAGTCACTTAATTGGCCAAGTTTCAATAACCAGAAGCTGGCAAAAAAGAGAAGTGACAGTTAATACTTATTTCCCACCTCTGTGGAAACCAGATACAAAATGCAGCTTCCACAGCCAAGTGAGGCTTCTTTTAGTGATTTAATCATGAATATTTATGCATAAACATATATAGAACAGAAGGATTTTAACCTCTAAGTCATTACTTACTAAATATCTACGAATGCACAAATTTAATTTATTATTGAGAATTAAAAAGCACAGTTCTCTATAAAAAGAACAGGTAAAGAAGTCACTACTATGATTGTGAAGGAGACTCCTTCATCTTTCAATCATTTTGCTATTCAATGCTGCTCAAGCCCTACAACTGAACATTTTAAATATTAACTCCCATGAAAGCACAAACTGAACTCAGACATTTAGGCAAACACTGACAATACTTTCCAAACACACATTCTGGAAATGATACAAAGTACCCCACGTTGTTGATTAGTATAAAATAACAAAAGGAACTGTGTAAACAGATGAGCTCAAAGTTTAGGTCAGAGCACCTGGCAGGTCAGACACTCACATTTGCAGAGGTGCAGGCTGAGGGTCCCAACTGCTGAGCAATGTGCCTCTGGATTGAAATAATGCCATGGATCCCATGGCTGGGATCATCCCTGTTACCTTGGGAGAATATCCAAAGGGCTTCTGTGGGCTGGGAAAAGGCTTAATGACTGTTGCACATGTTTTCCTCTGATTAGTACAGCAGAACAGAGGATTCCCAGTATTTCCAAAGAGTTGAACCATATGCCCCCCCCCCACATTAAAGATGTTTTCACATGGTAAATGCCTTAGGACTTGGTGGGTCTACAGGTTTTGGTTGAAAGAAGCCAGGCAAAAGGTCAACAAAAATGCCTGATCCCAGGAAAAGCAGTGGGAGATGCAAAGCAGGTTCATCCTGCCCTGGATTTACATGTCTTCACTGAGGCATTCAAACAGAATTTTCAGAGTTCTAGAAAAAGCAGAACGGGGAATTTTATCATCATACTATATATAGAAGTAAAAAACAGTATTCAGCACCACTCACCAAAAATCTTGTCTGGCTTCAAACAGGCAAAATTCTACCCAAGGATCACCATGAGCTCCTGTATCCTCCACAGTTCCTCCTTCCATTTGGGAAGTTACTGTGGTGTTCCCAGAGCTGCACCTCAGTTCTCCCACATGAACAGGAATAAGCAGTTTCCTTCCCCACACACAGAAGGAACGCTTCAAATACTTATTTCAAAATATTTGAGTGGAAGCTTAGATCGGAAATCCCAATTATGTCAAAAAGACTTTGGAAAAAAATACCCTGACAGGACGACCACATTTGTTCCTCATTTATTCTTAATTACATCTATAGAGAGTTTGCATCATTAATTTAATTAGCAACACATTGGCCTACTGAGGATTTCCTGAGATAGGCCTGAGGAATTTGAGGGTTCTGGACATTTCCACTCCCCACCTGCACAAACTCTGGGCCAGCCTCAGTCCCTCAATTCCCCCCAAAAAGGGAAGAGGCCTCTAAACTCCCTCACACTCTTTAACACACCAAGTAAAAGAGGGAGATAAAGCAATCAAACACCTGAAACCCATAATCAATTACTAGGGAGAGCTACAAAGTTCTTTTCCTGTGGCAAATAAATCATACATCCAGAAAGGACACCAAACCTTCAGCAACATATAATTAGTGATTTTAAAAGAACATTTTGATCCTTGCCATTATCAGATCAAAGGAGAATTACATGTGCCTCCTGACAAGACACAAAGCTGACCCCAAGCACAGGGATCGCTGAATTAGCAAAGGACTTGAGAACTTTTCATTCCTGCCTGTGTACATGATCTTAACTCCAGAATCAAAGAGCAGAAAGCAGCCAGTCTCCAAATCATGTTTAATGGCAGGTAATTCTGGAAAAGGATAAGATTTAAACTTGAGGAAAGCAACTATTTCCAATTTTATTCTTAACGTAGTGAGCTACTACATAAATAGAACTCTACCTAGGATGAGTAAAAAAAAGAATATAAAAATCACACCATTCTTTGGATTTAGGGTTACTGTGAAGCGTCTCCAAAGGTATCCTGCAGGAAACAAGGTGAGCTACCTGCAACAGACTCCTGGCTCCTGTCAGAGACTCAGAATACTATAGCAGATTTCCAAAATTCATCTCAGAAGTGGTATACAAACACATCATCATCGTTATTGTATTGCAGCACTTTTCAATGCATAAAGACACTCATTGTTTTCCCTTTAAGAGCATTAATCTGAATACTTTTTTCTTTAAGTCAACTTGTTCTCCAAGATCTTTACAAAATCTGTACATTGTTACAATGGCCGAGGGCACTCAAATTAGGGGCAACGTTTTACTTTCTCTCCTTAACAGAACACCAGCCGATCGTGGAGACTCTGAGAGATGCACAAAACTAGGTAGAGCTGAGTCATCCACGTCACTGCCAGTAATTACTCACAAAGGAGTTATGCAACTCCTAACACTGACAAAATTCAGTGGCCTTTGACAGACCGGGCTCAGAACGTGCTCCAGAGGATGGACTGAAAACACTGGCCAAAATCAAAAGATGTATTTATTTCAACTGGCAAAGGCAGCAGCTTATGCACAACAGCAGCAGAGCTCAGCTCACCAAAATGCCTTTTGGAGGGCAGCAACTTTCAATGCAGCCCCATTTTCCAGTAGAATAGTTTTCAGGCACTTTTTTGTTTCAGCCTTGTCTTGCTTGTCACAATCAGGCAATTAAGCAACTGGTTCCTGAAGTATTTGTTGCAAAAATAAGTATTTGAGAAGGAGGTTGCATTTATGCAATTCACAATATTCACGTCTTGCAAACAGCATGTGCTTCAAGCAATTACACAGCTCGTTGTAAATGCAATCCTCCCAGCTCAAGGGGCAGAAAGTGCCCAAATTACTGTGTTCTGCCCAATTCCAACTATTTCTGCATTTCATTCGGCTTGGTCAGTAAAATGTTAATGTTTACTTTCCTGTTTCTTTGTAGACTGTAATTACATTTTAATAATCTACAACAGTTGATTATGATCAACATCCTCAAACCTATTTTTATTACCATGGAAATACTTATTAATCCAATATCCAGCAGGAAAGAAGTTCACTGAATATTTGAAGCTTTAACAGCACAACACTGATCCTTCATACCTGGGCTCAAGGAATTCCCAGAGTCACAAAACAGCTTCACAAGTGATACTGTCACAGGAATATAAACACAGAACAGCACAGTGAACAGTCCCAAATCCTCAGCACGTCAAAGACATGCCCCCCCCC